CCCATGTCCGCTGTAGCCCATGGCCCCCAGTGCCCCACACCTTGCCCCCCTGGCCGCTATTACCCCACTCCCTGCCCCCCTGCACACTCAGTCCCCATTGCCCCCGCCCTCCTGCAGGCCCTGGCCCCACTGCACCCACATCCTCTGCACCTGTAGGTCCCATTGCCCCACACCCTGCTCTTCTGGGATCTTCTGGGCTCTCCTGGCCCCCAGAGTCCCACGTGCTGACCTTCTGCCCCCCCGGCTCCATTGCCCCACTCTCTGCCCCTCTGCACCCCTAAGTCCCACTGCCCCCCACACAGCCCCTCTGCCCCCGAAAACCCCATTGCCCCCCTCCTGCCCCACCTGCCCTGGACCCCCCCCCAGCCTCCCAGCAGGACACAGCCTGGCCCCTGCCCCACACACCATGGGGCAGAGGTGTGGGTATGTCCCCTCCCCTGGCAGGCAGGGTGCTGGAGCAGGACAGGTGGCTGCAGGATTAGCGCTAACGAGCTGTTTCATAACGGGGTCAAGAGGCCACGGGGGGAGCGTGGGCAGGGGGCCAGGCTTGGCTCAGCCCCACACCTGGGACAGCAGGGCCCCTGCGCTCAGCCCACTGCGGCCCCACAGCAGGGCTATGGCTGTGCACAGGCACCCCATGGTGCCCCGTGGGGCTGGGCACAGGCATGGTGCAAGCAGATGCTCAGTTCTCTACATTTAATGACTGGGCAGGGGAATGAGGGGCTGAGGCAGGACTCCCCGCTGCCACCCATGGCCCCCTGTGAGGTGTTGTGCGTGGGGTCCCCCATGGGGCCAGGGGCTGCCCAGAGAAGGATGCAAGAAGGTTGCTCCGCAGGGGGACACGGTGGCTGCTGAGATCGGGGGCCGTCCCGGGGCAGAGCTGCAGCGCTCAGGCATCCTGCAAGGACAAAAGGATGAGCATGGCTTGATCCTGTCCTGCCAGGCCACCCTGGCTGTCCCATGGTGGCAGTGGGGGTCCCAGACCTGGCAGACCACACCGACATCCTCCTGGTGGGTGCAGTCATGGCGTCCCCAGGCACGGTGGGCACAATCCTGCAGGGTCTCCTCCTGACCCCGGCAGCGGACGTCGTCCAGCCAGATGCGCCCAGCACCGGGGCCAAAGCGGGGCCGGTCCCGGAGGAGGTCACCAACTGTCCCTGCCGCCCCGCAGCCCAACTCCCGGCAAACCACTGCTGCATTGGTCCCGCTCCAGCCGTCATCGCAGACTGTGCCCCACTGCCCAGCACGGTTCACCTCCAACCGCCCGGCGCAGTGCCCAGGGCCACCCACCAACCGCAGCTGGAAGGGCTCTGTGGGGAAACTGGGGTGGCTGGCTGCCGCGGGGCGGCAGGGTGCGGGGATGAGGCGCGGGCGACCGCAGCCCAGCTGGTGGCACAGCACCCGGGAGGCTGCCAGGTCCCAGCCCTCGGCGCAGACGGAGCCCCAGGTGCCAGCGAAGAGGAGCTCCAGGTGCCCAGCACAGCGCGAACGGCCGCCCCACAGCCGGGCTGGCACCGCTACAAGGGGGAAGGTGTACGGCACCAGTATGACTGGTACAGCCCCATTCTGCCTAGCACAGCCTTGGTCTGCCCAACACAGTCCCAGTCTACATAAACCATCCCCAGTCTGCCCAGCACAGCCCCGGTCTGCCCCAAACAGCCCCACTCTATGTAAACCATCCCCAGTCTGCCCAGTACAGCCCCAGTCTGCCCAGCACAACCCTGGTCTGCCCAGCACAGCGCCAGTCCACCCAGTACAAGCCCTCCTACATGTCATCCATGCCCCTGTGCCTGCCATATCCCATTGCCACGGCCCCTGAGTGTCACCAGGAGGACACCCGGGGGACACCAGGACACACCAAAGGGACACTGGGGGGACATCTGGGGGGACACCCAGATGACCCCCAACATACCGGATCCGGCCACAACGCCACAGCACAGAACTGTGGGGAGAGAGGAAACAGCTGGGAGTCAGGACCCAGCCCTCGCCCCACAGACACCCCCCTGCCCCACTGACCCCCAACACACACCCCACGGACACCCCACACCCCACTGACCCCCCCCAACACACAACTCGTGGACATCCCATACCCTGCACACCCCAGTAAAACCCCCAACACACACCCTAAGTGCAGCCCCAGCTCTGCCCCCCAGATCTGTGCCCCCCAAATGCACACCCAGATCTCGCGCCCCTCCCAAGCCCCTGCCTCACTCCCTCCCCCCCCGCCCCCCCTTACCC